AATGGAAGCACAGATGCTGATCTTTGCATTTCTCAATTTTAGCAGGATGATAGATAACAGGTGTGCAGTATATAAAAATCTACTCACTCACAAGCATATGTTGAGGTCCTTCTGTATGCCAGATGCTATTCTGGCACCGGGGACACAGCAGTGGGCAAAACAGATAAAAATCCCTGTCCTCTACATTTTAAAGGACTCCCTGTATTCTCGGGAGTCCTTTAACCTGGGATTTAAACAATAATTTGACGTTATAGAGACGTGTGTAAGGGGCAGCTGCCAAGTTCAGGTGGTGGTACTTCCTAAGTCTCAAACAATTCCACAAGCTAAAATGTAAAACAAAAATCTCTGTAGTCATGGAGCTTGCATTGCAGTGAGGGACTAGATAGTAAGTAAATACATGTAGATTGTCAGTACTGGTGATATATGCCATAGAGGAAACCAAAGCAAGAAGGGAGGATGGGAAGTATAGGGTGGGCGTTTCATTTCATTTCATGTTTATCCATTTATTTTGAGAGAGTGCGTGAGCAGGGTAGGGGCAGAGAGAGAGAATCCTGATGTGGGGCTCAATCTCATGAACCGTGAAATCATGACCTGAGTTGAAATCAAGAGTCAGATGCTTAACTGACTGAGCCACCCAGGCGCCCCAGAGTATTATTTTATTTTATTTATATATTTTTTAAAGTTTATTTCCTTATTTTGAGAGACAGAGGAAGAGTGTGAGCAGGGGAGGGTCAGGGAGGGAGAGAGAGAGGGAGGAGCCCAAGCATACTGTCAGCGCAGAGCCCCAGTCTGGGCTCGCTGGAAACCATGGAACTATGAGATCATGAACTATGAGGTCATGTCCTGAGCCAAAATCAAGAGTCAGACATTTAACCAACTCCGCTACTCAGGTGCCCCCAAAGAGTATAACTTTAAACAAGGAGTTCTTAGAAGCCCCTCCCTGAAATACCTGAAATACCTGAAAGAAGTAAGGACTGAAGCTATGTTTGAGGGAAAAGTATTTCAGGCATGGCTGGAGCAGAATGAGCGAGGGGAATAAAAGAGATGAAGTAAAAGGGGGGGTGGAGGGGAGAGGAAAGCAGGATGTATACACTTTTGACAGACTTTGGTTTGTACTCAGGGGGAAGTGGGGAGCTACTTCAGTATTTTAAATAAGGAAGTGATCGGATCTGATGCACATTTAAAACAAAAATTTTTTAAGTTTCTCTTTAAGAGAGAGAGAGAGAGAGAAACTGAGCATGAGTGGGGGAGAGGCAGAGAGAGGGGGAGACACAGAATCCGAAGCAGGTTCCAGGCTCTGAGCTGTCAGCACAAAGTCCAGTGCAGGGCCCGAACTCAAAGACTGCGAGATCATGAGCCGCAGTCAGATCCTTAACTGGACTGAACCACCCAGGCGACCCATGAAGCACATTTTAACAGGTTCACTCTGATCCCTATATTGGGAGAGGACTGTGTGGAGGCTTAGAGACAAAAAGAGGGAGACAAGTTACAAGGCTATTGTAACAATCTAGGTAACAAAATAACCTGAATGAGCATGCAAGTTTGGATGTATTATCAAGGTTTGATTTCTTGACAGATCAGATGTGGATGGAATATGAGAAAGAAGCCAAAGATGACTCCGCCATTTTTGATCTGAGCCACTGAAAGAATGGAGTTGCAATTTAAGGAGATGAGACAACTCTAACAGGGGCAAGGTAGATGTGGAATTTAGATTGGGACTCATGCCTGCCCGATGTGTCTATAGTCACATTTAAGTGGACGTGCTGAGTAGTTGGAGGCATATGTTATGTGTGTGGAATGGAGAAAACTGGGCTAGAATTACAGATTTGGGAGTGGTCGGCACATAGATGGTATTTAAAACCACAGGACTGGATTAGATCACCAAAGGAAATGAGTGTATATTGAAAAGGAGCCCAAGGACAAAATGAGGGGCACTCCAGAGTGTAGAATTCAGGAAGGTGAGAATCAAAGAACCAACTCCCTATGAATTGCCAGTGAGTAGGAGGAGAATCAAGACAAGAGTGGTCCTGGAGGCCAAGTGAATGTAACATTCAAGGAGAGAGAACTCAATTGTGTCAAATTTCATAGTTCAGTACTGTGAAGACAGAATTGAGCAAAGGATTCACCAGTGACGGTCACTGCTAACCTTGTCTAGAGTGTTTGCTGAATGAAAGAGTGAATGAATGAATGGAACTTCTTTTGCCATTTATATATTTAAAATTTTTTAAATATTTATTTATTTTTGAGAGAGAGAGAGAGAGTGGAGGGCAGGGGCAGAGAGACAGGGACAGAGGATCTGAAGCCGGCTCTGTGCTGACAGAAGAGAGCCAGATTCAGTGCTCGCTCAAACTCACAAGCTAAGATCATGACCTGAGCCAAAGTTGGACGTTTAACTGACTAAGCCACCCGGGTGCACCTTACCATTTATATTTGACCAGGACCCAAGAGTGCAGAGAGTAGATCTTTATTTCTCCAGGAAGAGTTTGATGAGTTTGATAAATGATCGTAGAATTGATGGAATGAAATGGTTTCTCCCTCAATGTCCAGCCTATCCCGTTTCCTATTTTATCTTCCTTAGAATTGTAGAGGGTGGGAAACTGCACACAGCTCCTAATCCCTGGAAGCCAGGCTCTCTGAAATTGGCTTTGCCTTATTTCTCTGGACTGTTCCAGAACACCGTACTACACCCTAAGCCCTTCAGGGCAAAGAAGTCATCAACATCAAAAAAAAATCACAGGAGGGCACCTGGGTGGCTCAGTCTGCGGAGCCTGGGAAGTGGGACGCTTAACTGACTGAGCCACCCAGGTGCCCCAATCCTCAGGAACCTTTAAACAAAACAAGCATTAACTCCATTTTATAGGTAAGGAACCTAAAGCCTAAAGGGGGTAAGTCATTCTTCTCTGAGGTCACACAGATGTTAGCAAGGGGAGAAACCAGAATGTGCCCACAGAGTTACATGATCTCAAGGTTAAGCCCTTTCCACATTCCCCAAAGAACTGGAGACAGCACAGTGAGATTCCTCAGAGATGTGCTGCTGAAAGACGGCCATTACAAAGAATTCCGGACAGCTCTCCCTGTCCATTCTAGGCTGTGGGTGTGTTGAGAGCCAGTCCATTCCTGTTATTCAAGGAACAGTCAGTCATTCCATTCTCACGGCATGTGCGGGACCATTTTCTTCTCTTTGTTTTCAACCATTTATTTCCCTGCTCCTGCAAGATCCTCTGTCAGGGCAGAGGGAAGAGGCAGAATGCTAACCATCCATGTAGGTAACTTTGGGGAATGTTGTATTGGGCAGATGCTTGAAACAACTGGCTAAAATGACATTTTATACAGTTTTGTCTGCCTGAATTATCTGGAACCCACATTAGTTCTGTGAATGGGCCCCAAGGTGGGTTCAGTAAGAGCCTGCACAGGGCCCTTATCATTTGTAAGTTCCATCCTAGAAACTCACAGGTCTGTGGTCATTTGGTTCACGGTTCTTCAAAAATTCATAATAGTCACCGGCAACTGAGCTGATTCATCAAACTTTAGTCTTCTAAGGAGAAGGGGGGATTCTCAGGGCTCAAACCCCTCCAGAGGCTATCTGGACTCACCCAATATGGCCCTTCAGCCTGGGAGGGACCTCCCCAGTCCAGAATACTGCACAGATGGCCTGGTCCTTTGGTGCAAGTCTGGCAGTGATGCAGCCCTTAACCTCAGCAGGAGGCTCTCAGGATGGGACCAGAGGGACTTACTAGAAATCTTTCTATATTGAGCCAAAACCACCCTCTCACTGTGGCTTCTATCTATTTCTGTTCTCTGGAGCTACTCAAAACCTAGAGTCTAATCCTCTACTATGAACTAATCCTTCAAACATCTGAGGACAACACTAATGTTTCTCTTTTCTGTTCCTCCATTACCGATAGTTTAGCCGGTAACTTAAAACTTTATTTTACCTTTTTTAAAGCAAGTAAAAAATATAAAAAAGTATTACCAGCATGATGCTGGTCCTTGTGCATCCATCCCCAAAATCTCACTCCTTTTCTCCCCACCCCCTCTATCTGCTTATTTATTTCTTTGGACTCCTAGCTCCCAATGCAGGGGAGAGATGGTGGTGGCATTTATAGTGCAGTGATTAACAGAAAGTGGCAGTCATAGACTGGAGATTAAATGTGGTGTGCGTTTACAAACTGTACCTATAAACTGCGTTAACTGTGGGCACTTTATCCAGCTTTTCCTTTTTTTTTTTTTTAATTTTATGTCTTTATTTTGAGAGACAGAGTCAGAAAGCGAGCTGGGGAGGGGCAGAGAGAGAGGGAGACACAGAATCTGAAGCAGGTTCCAGGCTCTGAGCTGTCAGCACAGAGCCTGACACGGGGCTTGAACCCACAGATCGTGAGATCATGACCTGAGCCGAAGTCAGACGCTTAACCGACTAAGCCACCCAGGCGCCCCTTTATCCAGCTTTTCTAAATTCCATTTCCTCAACTGTAAAATGGGAATAATAAGCATACTTAATGCGCAGCTTGCTGCCGGGGTGGAAGTAGATAACGTTCCAAATCGTTAGCTCTAGGCACTTAAAGTAGCTGTTCCAACAATGACCTTCTGCTCCACCTCACAGACGAGGAAATAGGCCTAGGAGTCCAAGAGGTTTGTTCGAGGTCACAGCTAGTTAACAGCAGAGCGAAAACCTAATTCCAGATCCCTGACGCCTCGCTAGGACCCTTCCCTGCTTCCCCCCCCCCCCCCCCCCCCCCCGCTTTTGTTGGTGACCGAAGCCAGCCATCTTGTCTCTGCAGATTAAAAACTCACCCCTTATCCCCCAGTGCCCGCTACACTGAGAAGCTTCTACCAATTCCCGACGACAAAGTCAGCGAGCTCGGGCCTTGGCTATTTTCCATTTAGCAAAGAGGGGGGAAGGAGACAGACGACCCTGGATCCCTAGAAGTAATTAAAGGTTAGTGGTAGTTCTAGGCGTGGCCAAGTCTAAAAGAACCCGAGGTCCGAGCGTTCCTGCCTTTGCATACCAATACAGCTACTTCACCCTCCCAGCCCCGCCCGCGGGCGGCTCCCGCACCCTCCCGGTCAGCAGCTCTCGCACCTGCAGCGCGGAGGTGGGCGCGGGCTCCCGGCGAGACTGCCCGGGGCCGGACCGGCGCCTCGGACGTCCGAAGGGGCGGGGCCGAGCTGCGCGTTCCGGCCCCGGGGCGTGGCCTCGCGCAGGTGCGCGGAGAGGCTCCGGTTTCACTGAAACTTCTCCGTCTCCGGGGAGGCGCGCGCAGAGGCTTGGATTCGAGCAGGTGAGGCGGTGGCTTTCTCTCAGAGCGGCCAGTGGGACTCCGAGTTTCAAATCGTTGGCGGCGAATCCCCTGCCCACCTGGCGTCGGGGCTGCGGGAAGGATGCGAAGCCTGAGCGCGGCGTGGCTGCTGGGGGGCGCCGTCCTGCTGGCGGCCTCTGCGTCCTGCAATCGCACCGTCCAAGGTGAGAAGCTTGGTGGAGGAGGCCTCCTGCAGCTAAGGAGCAGGGGTCCCGGGCACATGCACAGGTGGTGGAAGCAGGGCAGGTGCAAGAAGGGTGTCCTGTTGCCGCCGACACCGCCTCTCACCTCCCCCTCTCGGAGGCTTCGATGGGGATCCCTGCACCAGGAGAGCACGGGGCTGGGGCAACTGGGAGAGGCTGAAGTCCGCGGAGGGAAGAGGAGGGAACGGGGTGCTTGTCTCTAAACGGTACCTAGAGGGCTCAGCCTCCTCTCCCCAGGGTTGGCTTCTTTGTAAACTCTCAGTCCTTAAGGAGCTTTTCGCACACACTTACGGGCCGGTCTCCAAGGACCCCTTAGAATTGGCTGGCTCAGAGCGGTGTGGAAGGGGTGAGAGCCCGCGGCCTGGGAAACTTCTCCCTCGCTCTTTGTGACCTCCTCAGCTTTTGGAGCCTCCTCTTTGGGGTCGGCTCACCTAATTCGAAACTGTCCTGGGGCCCGAAGCTCCTCTGGCACGGTGGATCGCCCGGTATGGAAGGGCCGGACCCCGCTGGGTTTTCGGGATATTGAGCGCTCAGCCTGGAGCTTTAGGCCACTCGGTTGGGCGTCACGCAGATTTTACAGATGGAACTTCTTGGAGGCTGCCTTTTATTCGACCAAGTGACTTACTGCGGCCCTGGGTTTCCGGGCCTTTGTATGCCGCACGGAACCTGTTTTGGCAGCCATTGAGGTCTGTATGACCAAGGCTGTCAGCTCCGGGAATGGAGCAGCACCGGAGCCGTCTCGGCGGAGCGCAGGTGCCAGCTTGTGCAGGGCCGCCGGGTTCCGCAGGTGTGCTGCCCCAGGTGTGCCCCACCTTGTCCTACTCGGGGCGGGATCTCCCCGGCTGAGCAGGGCTTCGAGGGGATATTTGGTGAAGACCGCGCTACCGTGACGCTATCGGGTGCTTAGCTGTTGGGGCTGCCGGGGTAGTCTACAAAGGGAGGGTTAAATTTCCTTGTGAATTTTGTAAAAGAGCAAATCACTGTCAATGTGAATTAGATGGAAGAATGTGATTCTTTTTCCCCTGGAATTACAGGAGAGGGTATTCTAGGATATGCTTGAAACTGGCACCACTGTGTACCTTTTTTTGGTTGGCATTACAATAAAGGCATTTATTTATTACCAGGAGGTATTGAAACTGTAATGAACACTTTTTGACTTGCCTTTGTCTTTTAAAGTTGGAAACTTAAAATTCGGGAGCAAAGCTAAGTATGTGCAAACATTTTTTTAAAAAAATGTAAGTATAGATTACTGAACGCTTCTCTGATTTAGACAGTTCCTATAGGAAAATAGCCCTGAGGATTGGCTTCTTGTTTACAAATTGAGGGGGCTGGGCTGGGAGGTGGGCATTCAATACGGTCAACTTGTTTGACAGCAAAAAATCAAGTTACTTGTTAACCAGAAGTATTTAATATTGCACCTTGTGGGTTTGTTGTTGAGGGTTTTTTTTTCGTTTTTTCTTTTTTTTCCCCCCTCCACATACTTTTGTTCCTTTACATGGTAACTTTCCTAAAGGTTAGATAACAGACTTAGGTAGATGGAGCTTTCCTCCCAACGTGAAAGTAAATTGAATTTGATTAAGAAATAGAGTGTCCCCTAAGTTTTTCTGCCCCTTCGCATACCTCTTTGCTCATCCACTTTTACCTTAACCCTTATGCATGCTTCTCACTTTGCTACAGGGCAGATAGTAGGTTTGATTTTCCTCCTGGCCTTTTATGATCTCACCCAAAAGACTGACTCATGGAGGGCAACTCTGCCCAGGATACACTTTTCTCATTTTACAGATGTGGGCCTCTGAGTTGAGGGGGAGGCAAGGAAAACACTATCAGGCCACATTTACATTCCAGTCACAACATTAATTGATAATTATTTGTGTAAATATGTTTACTCTGTCTTCCTCCTGGACCCTAAACTCTGGGAGGCCATGGACTGTAGTGTCCTCTCCATCATCATGGTACAGCACAGTCTCATTATCCAGAGGACCTCAGTAAATATTGCATGAGGAATGAAGTGAGGGCACTTGGCCATAGAGATCCGGCAGGGTGATGGCAGTTTGGCATTTCAATCAGATTGGTTTAGGGACTGACTTCTTTGTGCCACATCACAAGCCTGGGAGGTCCCCTACGATGCAGTCATTCTGTTTTTCTTTAGAGACTGAAACTTCTGTTCTCTTAGTAAGTGACTATGAATTATACAAGTAGTATACGATCACAGGAGAGCAATAATTAACAAAATTTTCTTTGAAAAAGACAAGTTTAATTAAGTCCTTTGCAGTACCCAAAGTAAACCACTTCTGACATTTTAAAAATGTTTTTAAAATGATTTTTTAAAACGTTTTATTGGGGCACCTGGGTGGCTTAGTCGGTTAAGCGTCCGACTTTCGCTTAGGTCATGATCTCGCGGTTCGTGGGTTCGAGCCTGGCATCGGGCTCTGTGCTGACTGCCGGCTCAGAGCCTGGAGCCTGTTTCAGAGTCTGTGACTCCCTCTCTCTCTGACCCTCCCCTGCTCACGCTGTCTCTCTCTCTCTCTCTTCTAGAAATAAATAAAACATTAAAAAAATTTTTTTAAAAATAAATAAATAAAAAATAAAAACGTCTTATTTATTTTTGAGAGAGACAGAGTACAAACAGGGGAGAGGCAGAGAGAGAGGGAGACAGAATCCAAAGCAGGCTCCAGGCTCTGAGCTGTCAGCACACAGCCTGATGTGAGGCTCGAACTTGTGAGCTGCGAGATCATGACCTGAGCTGAAGTCTGACGTTTAACCGACTGAGCCACCCAGGCGCCCCCAATCCAGACATTTTGTTTTGTATCCTTTACCATTCTTTCATACATCCTAGCATAAATTATGTACTCACAACCAGAAAATCTTTTTGTACAGCATGGGATTATATAAACATCAGTATCATGTCAGTAAATAAAAACACTTTTAAACTCTACATGTTATAGGAAGATTTATCATAATTTGACAATTAATTTGTTAATGGACACATGGGGTATTTCCAAGGTTTTGTAATAAGAGAGAATACTATAATGAATGTGAAGATGGGACTCTAAATTTGTGTTTGGTTTCTCACTTGCTTTGTACATAGTTACTAATTAACCTAGATAGATGATGTTTTCATGGCCTGTGTTTGACTTTCTTATGGTTTTATTAGCTGGGCAAGTGTTGAGAAGAAAACAGTTCATCCTGAAAGAACACATGAAAATGTCCTGATGTGTACCTAGGGAGTGGTCTCTGGTAACCGAAGCTTTCATTTGTCAGTCTGTGTTCCCACATGTTGGAAGCAAATAGATTTGTGTTGATGGGATAGTAAGGGAACAGGATTTAAGAGGATAGTTAACACAAAATACTTGCTCTGTGCTTGGTTTGGCGAGAAGGATGGGCCACTGAGGGATGTTTAAAATAACAAAGAACAAGTAGTAGTTTTAAAGTCAAAAGTTTGGGCACCTGAGTGGCTCAGTCAGTTGGGCAGCTGACTTCAGCTCAGGCCATGATCTCATGGTCTGTGAGTTCGAGCCCCGCTTCGGGGTCCGTGCTGACAGCTCAAAGCCTGGAGCCTGCTTCGGATTGTGTCCTCCCCCTACCCCTCTGCTCCTCCTCCACTCACATTCTATCTCTGTCTCTCAAGAATAAATAAAACATTAAAAAAAAAAAAGTTAAAAGTTCTCCATCCATTTCCCCCCACAATCCTATGAATCAGAAATGTTTTAAAACAGCAAAAATCCCCCATTCTCTCTCCTCTCCAGTGTCAACAGACTTCTATGCACAATACAGTAAAACTTTGGTTTGGGAGCATAATTCATTTGAGAAATATGTTTGTAATCCAAAGTACTTGTATATCAAAGCGAATTTCCCCATAAGAAATTATAGAAACTCAGATTATTCATTCTACAACCCAAATATATTCATATAAAAATGATGACAATACTGTAATATAATACAAAATAATAAAGAAAATACAAACTATAAAGAAAAACAAACACATTTACCTGCACTTACCTTTGAAAACCTTTGTGGCTGGTGTGAAGGAGGCAAGAGAGAGGAGGGTTATTGTGTAGGACAACTTTCACTATCACTAATGGAATCACTACTATCTATTGGCTCAGTGGAATCTTCTGCATGGAGGGCATTGTATATGCTCGCATGGATGTTGACTATGATATTAATAAACTCTTGTCATATACTGTATCTAATGTAACTGGCAATAAGGCAGCAGAAGAAAGGGTCTGTATCTGTGGGCAGCCTGACCTAGAATGAAGCAAAGCGTTCCTAAGCTTACTCTTGTATGGAAAAGCAAGGGACTGTCTGTCCATAGGTGATTTGAAGTGACAAAAAAATGCACTAGTGCCAGTTGTGGGCACCTTCCAGCATTCTGAAAAGTAACTCATTTCTGCCAGATATCGTAGCCTGAGACCGAGCATCTGAGCATAAGAGACAGTCACCCACAATTCCTCATTCCACACATGCGAGAGAGAGAGAGAGAGAGAGAGAGAGAGAGCGTGCGAGAGAGAGAGCACAGAACCATTGGCTTAGTTGTGATCGTGTGATGTTTGGCATTGTGTACTACTCACATATTACCACTCGTTTATCAAGTTAAAATTTATTAGAAATATTTGCTTGTTTTGGGGAACACTTAAAGAACAAGTTACTTACATTCCAAGATTTTACTGTATCTATATTTTGTAACAGAAGAAAGATTTTATTGTATATACTGTGCTATAATTTATTTTTTTAATGTTCATATATTTAATGGGGCAGAAAGAGAGGTAGAGAGAGGCTCAAGCAGGCTCAAAACTCAGTGCAGAGACCAACGCAGGGCTTGATCCCATGACTGTGAGATCATGACCTGAGCCCAAGTCAAGAGTCAGATGCTTAACTTACTGAGCCACTCAGGCGCCCCACAATTTATTTTTTTAACCTAAATCTACTCATAGTCAGTAGAGGGAAATTTATCCATGCTT